GAGGGAGGGAGGGAGGAAGGGAGGGAGGGAGGGAGGGAGAGAAAGAAGGAAGGAAGGAAGGGAGGAGGAAGGAAGGAAGGAAAGAGGGAGAAAAGGAAGGAAGGAAGAGAGAGAGAAAGAAAAGACAAGACTCTATTTCAAAGGCATAAATGGATTTTTCGTGGAAACATTCTTTGCAAAGAAAATCATCGACCTTACGCCATGACAGAAAATTTGGGCAAAGTTCACTGGTAAAATAAGAAACCTGTCTGGTCATAAATCTCCAGGTTATAATTCACTGTCTTAAGCAATGCTTAGCAGTATTATTAAATGCCATTTATCAATGCTAGCTGGTACAGGAAGTGAGTATACTCTCTCCCTCTCTCTCTTTCTCTCTCTCTCTTTCTACACACACAATGTAGCGAGTATGTCTGTGTATTTGTATGTGTGTGCGTATACACAGACATCCATGTACATAGTGTGTGTGTGTGTGTGTGTGTGTGTTGGTTATTTTCCAGATAGCAGGTCTCATTCGATGCCCAGGTCTCTTGGACTTCGATCCTCCTATTCATGCTGTCCTTTTGTTACAAACATGACAGGCCTGGACCTGGTGAGCTCTGTGTGGCCTGGGCTCACCTCGAACCCCAGACCCTCCAGTGGCTGGTATTACAGGCATGAGCTACCACGCTCGGCGGGCGCTCGGTTGACCTCCGGTGGACTGGTCGCTGTCTGACCCTATGCCTTGATGTAATAGTTCAAGGTGACTTTGGAGACGTGTTCTGGGTGTGGGGCGGGAGGGTGAGGGGGAATCTGACCTGGGTGAAGAGGCTTCCTGCACCTTGGTGCTGCTGGAACCCTGGTCCCTCCGCACGGGGGCAGGCTCCAACGTGGGGAGGCCCGTGGCTGATGTGGTAGTCGTCCAGGTGGAGGACACTCTGCGCAGTAAGCCGGGGGGCAAACTCTTCCTCAGGCGCTAGGAGACAGCATGCAGTTATTTTTGCCAGTCCTGGGACTTGAACTCTGGGCCTGGGCGCTGTCCCTGAGCTCTTTCCCTCAAGGCTGGTGCTCTACCCCTCGAGCCACAGCACCACTTCTGGTTTTCTGGTGGTTCATGGGAGATCAGAGTCTCACGGACTTTCCTGCCCGGGCTGGCCTCGAACTGCGATCCTCTAGATCTCAGCCTCCCAAGGAGTTGGGATGACAGGCGGGAGCCAACCGTGTCCGGTGTCTTTTATTTTTTCGATCACCGGGCATCTCTGACACACAGTGTCTCTGGCTGCAGCGTGGAAAGAGGGGAGCACTTGCTGAACTGGAAGGGGACCCCCAGGGAACCCTTGTCATCTGTCCAAAATGCTGAGTTCTTAAGACATTTGACCCAAAGTCTCTCCACCCCCCCAAAATGAGCAAATATTATACGTATCATAATTTGGGGGAGGTCTTGGTTTCAATGTGTATGCAAATATAGGACTAAAGGGCCAGGTGGCTCCCGCCTGTCATCCCAGCTACTCAGGAGGCTGAGATCTGAGGCTCACAGTTTGAGGCCAGCCCTGGGCAGGGAAGTCCATGAAAGTCTCCTCTCCAGTGAGCCACCAAAAAAAGCCAGAAGTGGCGCTGTGTGGCTCCCAGGGTAGAGCACCACCCAGCCTTGAGGGAAAAGAGACACAGGGACAGCGCCCAGGCCCTGAGTTCAAGCCCCAGGACCGACGCACGCACAGCAACGGTGAACAGAAGATCGTGGAGTTGTTCAAGGCTGCCACTCACCTTGGGCACGGCCAGCTTGTCCTTGTCGGTGCTTTCCTCAGAGTCGGAGCAGGCGTAGTCGCCAAAGGCCAGCAGCGGGCCGGCCCTGGGCCTGTGCACGGCTTGGAAGGTGAGCTGGGTGCTGAGCAGGTTGCTCACGGCTCTCAGGGAGGTACATACGCTGGGGGGCAGCGAAGGGTCGGCCAGGAGGTCGGTGATGAGGCCGTGGGCCTCACCCATCACCGCGATGTCCACCGTGATGCTGGTTCCTGAGGA